AGAGACCACACCAGGAGGACACACAACAGCAGATGAAGGGGAGGCAGCGGCGCCACAAACACATATGTGATAGTATACTAGTGAGGTGGGTATATATTATTCTTGAAACACACTAGTGTTGAACATATGGTGAGGTGTGGTGTGTTAGATAGCAGTATCTATTTATGTATACTTATTTACATGTAAATTTGTACCTCAATACATAATATTATACTATCTATAGGTTAGATATATATATATGTAGTCGTGTGAGGATAGTATAATATAGTATTTAATATAAATATATTAAATATTATGTGTACGACGCGCGGCACAGGGGGCGGGTAGGAGCACAAGCGAACAGGCACACACACCACAGCACACACACACAAACAACACACACAACACAGCAACACACACACATATGTATATTATATATATACACATAAATGGTATGGTTTATATACGGATGTATATATGGTTATATATATATATGTATATATATTATGTATTATATATATTTATTAATATATATATATATATATATATATAATACATACAGCATCACTTACGACATGTATACACATACATGTGTGTGTATGTGTGTGCATTATTGAGGTGAAATGGATGGTCAAATCGATATTAACATTCATATACAAACATGTGTGTCTACATGTTAAACCTTCCCCGTCTCTCTATAGGGGGATATAAGGGAAAATTTTCGGTCACTTACCTTTGGAACGTTAGAACGTCATAAAAGCATAACATAACGATTACCTCTTTTTCTCACAATCATCTTTATTTATTCATTCATTCCATTTGTCAACACCGGTATCAGGGTAACTATCGATAATAAGATAATGGGTTACACGTGGATGATTAATGATGGTATTATTGGGTGCAATGACGGTAAGGGTCGTGGGGAAACAATAAAGATTATGATCAATATATAATAAATAATGATATAACAGTAATATCAGTAATGTCATCGCTGAGACAGTGAAAGTAAAGATGATAAACAATTATGGTGATGTAATGACAGTGATGAATTATTAGTAATTATGAATGATGATAATCCAGATAATGACAAAGATAATAGTAAATAAATGACAATAATAATATAAAATGGTAATAACCATAAAGATTATGATGATGGTATTAATGATAAATATGGTAATAGTAATATAATGACGATATGATAATGATGATACAAAATACTAATACAAATAATAATAATGATAATAATTAAGATAATAGATAGTAATTAGAGAGTAATAATAAGTAAAATAAAAGTAACGTTTCCGTATTGATCAACATCATCATCATGTATTCATAATGACATTATCACACGCACATCAGAAAAAAAAAATCTCACAGAGCATTGAACCTCTTCATGCATCGTTAACAAATCAACAAAAAAATATATTGCTTTTTATGGAAAGATTTACATGCATATTTGTCCAGCACAGTCATTGACGATGAATTTAAGATATATGGACAGCGGGAAACACGGAACCAACCCATGGGTCAATTTATTTTCATGTGTAGTTGTTATATGAATGAAATTGTAGTAAAAAAATTTACCCTTACCCGTCCCCCTCCCCACCCTTTCCTTTCCATTAACAACGATAGATACAACATCTTATCTTTTGTTCATGCGTATGCTTCCATGCGCAAACCAAACGCACATACAGTAATAAACGCACACAAAAACATACACACAGACATCTAACACAATTACACACCCTCGCGTAGGGATACACATGTAAATAAGTTCTTTTAATCGACATCTGTATTCACACACACCCAGCTGTCCACAACGGATCTTAGAAGGGTGAAAGATAAGATAAGATTAGCTGTCCTTTCCTTCCACTTACCTTATTTACCTCACCCTTCTTACCCTTTCCCTTCACCCTAAGAGAATCAAATTTGCAAGGAGGGGGAGGGGGGTTGGGGTTATCGTAACAACATATGACAACGAAGGAAAACAAGGTGATTGCCTCCTTAAGCCATTTCCCTATTTTTTACTTTCTCTTGATAACAATGATCATTTTTTGTGTGATCTAGATTGTTCTAAGCACGACCTAATTCCATGATACTTTGGTGTATGATTAATCGTTTATGAAAGGATTTTAAAATGGTGTCTTTTTCCGAGAGATCGAAAGAGGAGCGAAGGGAGAGAGAGATAGAACGAGAGAGAAAGAGATAAAGAAAGAGATAGAAGGAGAAGAGAAAGAAAAGACTAGAAGGAAAAAGAGAAGAAGACAAGAAAGAGAAAGAAGGAGAAGGAAAGAGAGAAAGAGAGAAAAAACTAGAAGGAAACAGAGAAAG